CACAGCAATTTGGCTGCTGATTCTCCCACCACCATGTCCGCATAAACCCACCCAGCTCACTTAGCCTGGATGGAAATTATATTCTGTGGTGGCACAGTGGGTAGAATGCAGTACTGCAGGCTACTTCTGCTGACTGCCAGCTGACTGCATTTTGGACAGTTCGAATCTCATCAGGCTCCAGGTTGACTCAATCTTCCTTCCATCCTTCCGAGGTGGGTAAAATGAGGACATAGATTATTGTTGTGAACAAGAGGCTGACTCTGTAAACCGCTTAGAGAGGGCTGTAAAGCACTGTGAAGTGATATATAAGTCTAAGTGCTATTGCTGCTATATTCTCTATTTCCTTAATTTCCATGCACTTTGTGGGTTTGAGTTGCTGACACGTGGCTGTTTTGACGAAGCCTCAAGAAGACTGGATGATTTAGGTAAAGAAGGTAGCCCAGTGTTGCAAAAATGCCCATAAGGTTGCTAGCTCATCTTACACACCATCTCCTTGCACATTACCTGGGTTAGCCTACCTAAATTATCCACATGTATAAATACTGGCTCATCTCAAATCCTAACTTTTTCTGAATTTTTCACATGCCAAGCTCCAAAGATTTGCCATCATTGTTCTAAACTATCTAAGTGAAGTGAAGAACAATGTCACACATCCAGCCAAGGGAAGGATTCAACCAGCAGCCAAATTGGCTTTTGTGCAGGACATAAGAGGAAGTGTCAGAGAGAAAAAAATGTTTGGGTTCAATCTGGACCTCATCAGATGTTCAACCAGGAAAGATTGGAGAGATCTTGCCCATTGCCATCCTACGAGGCAGATAGAGAAATAGTCATTAGCCAAATATACCAATGGATTTTCCTACGGAGCAGGGTTTTGAGCTCATCACATTGGCGGTAGCTTGGCTTTCCAGCTAAGATGTGATGCTCAGACATAAACATAGGACCAGTTTCTACAGAGGACTACCTGGTCATCTAGTAGAACTGCTGAATCAGAATGACTCATACTACCAATCTATGCCTGCAGTTCTAGTCAAGTATTTGATGACACTGGAGACAAAATATGCCCAGCAAGGGTGGGGGATGGGCAGGGAACCTGCTCATTCTCCAAGGCTTCTGCTTGATCTCATACTCCTTAAGAAATGAAGGAGGATTTGAGGCCAAGCCAAGGGAACAAAGAACAATTTGCCATAACAGAATATTACTTGGCAAGAAGTCTTTTGGTGCATAGAAAACTGTTCATCTCACAATTTATTTGCTTTGGTGATAGAAGCCCAGTATCCTGCTGATTTATTTCTTGTGTTATTTCTCCCTGTCTTTATCGATTTGCATTGTGATAACAGGGAGGAAGTTTTCAATTGCTGCTCCTAATGAGTGGAAAAGAACTACATCTAGCAGTCCGCCTCTCCTAAACTAGACACCTCGTTTCTATAGGTTTCTTCTCTTTAGATCGTTTTAGAGACAACCTCAAACAAGCCTCCTTCTAAGGATTCTAGAATTATAGCTCTGCTTGTGATAACAATAAGCCAGGTGTTTATTTTGGCACCAGACACACACAACCCCTGGCTTAGAGAAAGAGTAACGCTGCTTCCTTTTCAGAGCAGGCCACATATTCATGCAACAACTCTCCATAACTACTCAAATGTAAGTGGTAGTAAGACTGATTCCCAGACGAGTGCATATAGAATTTACATTTTCATCTAATAGCAATTAGACTTATATGCCGCTTCACAGTGCTTTTACAGCCCTCTCTAAGCAGTTTGCAGAGTCAGCCTATCACCCCCAACAATCTAGGTCCTAATTTTACCCACCTCAGAAGGATGGAAGGCTGAGTCGACCTTGAGCCTGGTGACATTCGAACTGCCAAATTGCAGGCAGACAGCAGTCAACAGAAGTGGCCTGCAGTACTGCACTCTAACCACTGTGCCACCACACAGTGGTTAGAATGCTATGTTCACATAGCTTTTAGGAGGGTAAAAAGCTGCCCATGTTCACTTTGGATAGTAAGATAATAAGTACAGTAAATAACATATACCCTTTATATAGCAACAGCACTTAAACTTATATACTGCTTCACAGTACTTTATAGCACTCTCTAAGTGTTTTACAGAGTCAGGATATTGCCCTCAACAATCCTCATTTTATCAACTTCGAAAACATGGAAGGCTGAGTCTACCTTCAACTGGTCAGGATCGAACTCCTGGCAGTGAGCAGAGTTAGCCTGCAATACTGCATTCTAACCACCACACCACTACGGCTCCTGATTTTATATCCAAATTCAGTCATAAGAAGACAGGGTATTTTGATCACAGATTGTACTGGAAATGCATGCCACTAATTTTTTTTCTTCCTTATTTTCCAATACCACTACCCTTGCTTCTGTTAATCTTTACTTTTTTTTTAATTAGCTCCTTTAAATATCAGGAGTTTATTAAAACCCTATGCCTCATTGCTACCGCCCTGTAAAATTCCCTCAAATGTCACCTCTGAGACTTGGATCAGAGTCAGAAGAGTTGCACCTAGGTTACTGGTCCAAGAAAGCAATGATTTATCTATTGATATAAGATATCAGGCAGACTTATAACTGCCTAGCAAAGAGCAGTATCATCTAATAAAGATTTTCACATGTTATCAAATGCAGCTAATGAAATGACTGGGATGTGTATTGTTTAGAGACCTGTCACTAATGCTTAACTTTGCAAACAGCTGCTCAACTCTCTCCAAACCACAATATATGGGAGCAGACAGAAGGGGAAAATTGCAATTTGCATTAAGGATTTTGGCCCGTATCTGGGAATTCAAAAATTCATGGAGTTTTTCTCAGACAAGTCAATTATTTTGACAAGTATTGTCTTTCAATCTGGAATAAATTCATATTTAAGGGACCTTGCTTAGAACTGTCATATAGTTGCTTGCCCAATTATCATGTTATGTTTTTATACCCTGCGTTTCTACATAGCATGTTCTTTTTCTTCCGGGACAGGACAGTGGCAAGGAAACAAATGACCAAAATGCAAATGTTTGCCAAATGTTTGATTACCAGCACTGGCATTTGACTTTTGAATAGCACATTTGTGCTCTGCTCAAAAAAAAAAAAGGGTCATCCACATAGATAAGGTCAGAGCAGAAGAAAATTGGATGCTATTGAAATTAAACCGAATTCATCGCCCACAGTTAGTACAAACTATTATACATTTATTTCCAACTACACATTATAGGTAGTCCTCAACTTACGACTACAGTTCAGCCCAACATTTCTCTTGCTAAGTGGAACATTTGTCAAGTGAATTTTATCCCACTAATAACCTTTCTTGATAGCTCGATATCTGAAGAACAGGAAAACTTGGGGACCACCATAAAGGTATACAATAATATTTACTATCTGCACACATCATTTCCTTGGACAACAGTTTATTATGATCCTTCCGAGATGGATTACAGCTGGCCATGCATCCTACTGAATGACAATGATGTCATTAGACTAATCAAATGGCCAACTGCTGCTAGCAATGGCAGTTGACCTCTGTTTTCAATAGCTCAGGAGAGGAAATTGCTTTGCATCTAATTCTATTGGTAAACTGAATAATGTATTTCTGGACCGTGCTGGTGCGTGGTGGAACTGATTCACTTTAGAGATGGCACAGCATATCCTGGGATGGATGTAGTCATTATTCAGCCTGAGGCTTTCAAGGCACATTGGACTACATCTCCATCATGTAATCAGGATAATGACATTTGGCTCCAGAAGTACAATTGAATTCTGTCTTAACTTTCTGAAGCAAAGATCTACAGTAGGAAATGATTAGTACCTAGATGGGGCTTTCCTGGTTTGGCAGCGTCACAGATCAGAATTTTATCAACACTATATCTCATTAAGATGCCAGGGAGTCATTATATTATTATTTTTAAATGCCCTTTTATGTTCCTCCTTATTGTGGAGAGAAACATCTCACCTATGGTAAAGTAGACTGGCCTGGACTATGCCAACTAAGGTTGTGTAAGTTGTGTGTGACTAAATGTTCCAATCTGGAAATAAGTATATTTTATTCCAAAAATAAGCCGTCCTTTCATAGAATAAGTTGGGAGTTTGAATCTTGACACAGAGTTATTCAGGGGATGAAATTCTTCCCTTATAGAGGAATTCATTAATGCAAATTCTACAGAGAAAGAGGAGGAGGAGGAGGAGGAGGAGGAGGAGGAGGAGGAGGAGGAGGAGAAACATTTTTTACAAATGTATTAAAAATAATAATGAGGCATTTAGTTGCAATTTCAGAGGATGGAACCTCCATGAAAGAAAGATTTTGCATGCCTTGACACTGAGAATGTTCCACTGATTATTTTCTAATTCTTGAAAAATGACTGGGAATATTTGTTGAGTATGTGAGAGAAAAATTAATGGCCTATTTAGAGGCCCTATGAAGCTATTGTGTTCTGGTTGCATGCTCTCTCTGAAAAAAACCAACCAGCCAGTACTATGAATGTTATCACCTAAGGCAGGATAAGATGGATGGTTTTAACCTGAATGCCGTTTTCTGAGCTTACATAAGGCACTGAACCAAATGCCAAGTGCCTGAGTTTGCATGAGATATTGAGTATGGTCTTAATTTAACCATCATTGTAGAACCACAAACTAACCAATGGTCTGGGTGGACCTGACCGGTAAACTCCTCAGACCTTCTCCTCTTTAATCAAGCAGAGTTGATAGTGCACCAAGTTACGAGGTGAAGCATGTTGCACAAACTTCATCTTTTCATGGCTTTTGTTTCAGTTTTCCAATGGATCACTCCCATAGCTTACTTCCTCAATTCAGCTACAAGAACTTGGCTTTGATGGTTCCTCTTTGTAGCATCATCTCTTGGGCATTATCTTTCTCTCAGCATGGAGCCTCTCTCCATCTCATGATGGAAGCTTCCATTTAGTGTGCTTTGTGCAGATTGGGGACAAAAGAGGAGGGTATGTAAATAATGGAAGTGGCAATAAGGGGAGACCTGTTAAGATCAACTCACCTATGGGGTGCCTTGCAATCTACAACCAGCTCTGCTCCCCTTTTTCTTTAGATCTTTTGTAGATTTTGAGGTCCTTTGGTTTCCTCTTGATTAAAGGGAGAAGGAAAGAAATACAAAGACCTTCCTGTCATGTTTGTTATATTTAATCTCCTTCATTTGGTTACCAAATATTTTCTGGTTCCATATAATATGCTGAATCATAAACTAACCACACTGACTGGGTTTGTATATTGCACTAAGTTAAAGTGTAAACACTAAATAACTAAGTAACTAAATAACTAAGCTAAAACACTTTAGCTTAGTTCAGGTTGCCTTCAAAACTTCCCTAGTATTAAATACTGGCTTGTGTAGAACTGGATAGACTAACTCTAAAACTGAAAACTAAGGGGGAATCAGACTTGGAATAAATTTTATCAATGGTTGCAGACGAGAGGGGAAGATCAGAACAAAAATAGGACAAATAAACCTTGATTGTGAATATTGTACTAATCATATGAATGTTAATGGTTTAGTAATATCTTTGTATGTATGGCAGAATGATGCCAGAACGGTTACAATGTGTTTGATATTTATAGTTGTAAACAATAAAGATATACTTTTAAAAAACTTCCATAGTATTTGCTTGCCAACTCATCAAGCTTCTCTACATAGAAGGAGGAGTGAGCCAAAACCTGCCTCTTTTCTCAGTTTTCTCCTCAACCTGGGGTCTTCAACTGCATTAGACTACATGACCAGTCATCCCAAGAAAGCATGGAGTTAGGAGGAAGAGTTTTTCCTAGAAAAATGATGGTCCAAATGAAATTCTATCCTACTCACCCCATTCCTAAGAGGTCTGTAAGGGGCGTGCATAAGTGCACCATCGTGCCTATCATCCCTGTCCTATTGTCTCCACTTATTCGTACCTATTTCCTGTATTCTTACTCATGTTTATGCTTATACCTATTATCTTGTAAGCGATTGACAAATCAAATAAAGAAATAAAAAATACTTCTCATGGCATTTCACTCTCGATAGTAATATTTCCTAGAACTAATTCATATTGTTGGATGATCACCAAGCCACATAATTTTTTAATTGCTTGCTTCCCCCACCCCCCCACCCCCCCAGTCTCTACACTATGCTGGAAACCATTAGAACTAATGACTTTGGAACATGTCATTTCTTCACTTATAATTTCCTTTCCAAAATTATGCAAGGAAAATGGGTCTAATTCGATTAGAGGAAAGGACCATTATTATGATGCATTTGATGAAGCCAAGATAGAAGATGGAAAAGCTATAATAAATTATTTCCTATTATGGTTGATGATGGGAAAATCCAAATGAGTTCCCTCCCTATCCAAGAGCACTAATTAAAAAGAAGGTCACAATTCACTCAGAAGTTTTTCCTGGCAAGATGCCAGCAGGAATTTACCGGACTAAGCTAAGAATTAGCGATATGCTCAGGGGTGTTTGTTGGTTTAAGACAATGCACTGGAGACAAATGTCCCAAACTGCATCCATGGAATTGGGAGAGTTTCACACCAAGTATATTTCAGGATTGAAAGTGATTGAATCTGAAAAACTAAACACAGTAGAATCCTAAAAAGTTGTTGGTTTAAAAGACTCGGGTGACTGCCCAACATGTAGAATAAGCTCACGATACTGATAAAACCCAGAAACAAGGAAACACCATGTTTCTGACTTATTGTCACCAGTCCATCAGATCATACAATTCTCACGCTCCAACTTCACCCTAACCCGTACGTGGAGGGGAAAGCCAACCTTTTATGGCTTTCCAGAAGGCTAAAAAGATGAGTATCTGTGGATCTCATCCAAGAAGCTTCTTCAGCACTCACAGGATGGTGGGGAATGGGAGGATTTATATTCCTAGCAGACAGCTGGTCATTTGCATGCTTTTAGAAGGTTGTTGAGGCCCCTTGGAGTTTTGTCTTAGTCCTCAGGGTCACCTGAGTAGTGCTCCTGGTTCCTGTAATCTGCAATTTTTTCCTCTGGAAATCCATTCCCATGCCATTCAAAGGGTGTTCATCTCAAACCGTATAGCTAAATGTCTGTAAAGATTCTCAGTCATCCAGATCATGGTTGTCCCAAAGGTGCTTTTTCAGGAGGCAACTGGACTTTCTTTTTTTTTTTTTTTTTTGAGCTGAAAAAAAGAAAGAACTGAAGAAGCTTCTTGGATGAGAAGCAAAGTGTCTTCAAAAGAAAAAAAACTCCTGGAAAAGCACTTGGGGACAACCATGACCTGGATGACTGAGAATCTCTACAGACTTAAGGTTTGCTACACTTTACATTGGATGAATGGTCCAGAGCCCTATGAACTGGACATCCTCTACTGCAGTGTTTCTCAACCTTCAGAACTTTTAAGATGTTTGAGAATATTTTAAAACAAAAATTTAATAGTATAAAATATAAACATTCAATATCTATATAAACGGTGTGTTGTCTGAGTACAGTTGATTTTGAGGCATAGCAATGGTAATAACAATAATATTCATAACATCAATAATAATCACATAATAATATTTACTTACCCATTTTAGTAAATCTTCAATGTAATGAATCCTTCTCTTATGCTTTTAAGTTTCTAATTTCTGTTTCTGCTAGTTAGCCATTGATAAAACAAATCCCATGTTAAAAAAAAAACATTCAGTTTCTTCCTTCTCCTTAATTTTGAATGTTAGTCTATCCATTTTTGCACATTCTAATTTTTTTTATTATTTTCATCAATAGGAATCTCTTCATTTTTCCATTGTTGTGCAAACATAATTCTGTCTGCTGTTAACACATGTAAAATTAAATATGTATTCCCTTTCTTATATTTTTCTGGTAAAATACCCAACAAAAATATTTCTGGCTTTAGAACTATATGTTGCTTTACTATTTTTTCTAACCATGCGTGTATTTTTGTCCAATATTTCTTGCCTTTGGGCAAGTCCACCACATGTGATTGAACTGAATTCTTTATTGTCATTGTACGTACATACACAGTATACATACAATGAAACAATACCCAGAGACCAAACAAAAACATGCACACACACATGACAAACCCCAAACACCTCCCCCCCCCCCAAAATTCCCCGCCTCCTAAAAACACACAAGCATCCACACAACACACCAAGTAATACTGTCCAACAGCTCACTGATAGTGGTATTTAAGTTCATTGTTAAGTGCAATTATAGCTCTGGGATAAAAACTGTTCTGAAAACGTGTAATCTGAGTGTTAATTGTTCTGTATCTTCTGCCAGAAGGCAACAGTTCATAAAGATTGTAAGCAGGATGGGAAGACTCTCTGAGAATGTTATATAACTTCCTCAAACAACAAGATGCCAAGATGTCATCCAGGGCTCGTAGCTGGAGCCTAATGTTAATACAAACCCAGTAACTGTTTACAAGATGCTTGAGAAATTTTGTTGCAGTGTATGGAATTCAGCTCCCAGATTTCTCAGCAGTTATCCTTGCTGGCTGGCTGGGGAATTCTGGGAGCTGAAATTGGCACTTTGAAAAGTGTTCAGGTTAGACAAAGCTGTGGCAAAGAATGAGCTGCTACCTATGGTACCCAAAAACTGGTGGAGAGATTCAGCTAGCCCCATCACCATCCTCAAGATGGCCTTGACTGTAAGTATTACAAAATCAGGTTTCCGGGACATTAGTGAAGTTAAATTAATTAAGAGATTTCACTTCATGGCTAAATAAGTAGGGTCTGTTCAATTTCTAGTGGCTGTGTTTGCACAAGCAGATGTAAGTTAGTTCATATAAACCTTTGTGGCTTAGCATATTTTGCCCTCTTTGGACTATTTATAGTTCATTATATAGTGCCAAGAAAAAAACACGGGTGTAACCAGTAGGAAGTGAACTAAACTAGAAGCTGGCTTTAGTCTTCATCAGACAAACCAAGACTAGGGGTTAATAAAGGACCAGGTTAAATGAATCGTGCAAGTACATTCATTTGTTTACATTTGCATTTGATATAATATCCCAGCTCCTCAGTTTATAAATGCCTGCGTAAGATTACTTAGTTCCTAATGGCCACTTGGAAATTCTTTCTCCCTTACCCTCCCTCTGCTCCCATTTTTTCCCCAACCACTGTTTATACATAAAGTTGCTCTTTTAGGATTGTACCCCATGCATCAAATAAAGTGGCCTGCAAAGCCTGACATTTATGCAACCATAAGACTGTTAGTCTTTCCAAAGTACCCGAAGGCCAGACAAGGAACAATGGATGGAAACTGATCAAGGAGAGATTCAACCCCAGAAATAAGGAGAAATTTTCTGACAGTGAGAACAATCAACCAATGGAACAGAAGTTGCCTTCAGCAGTTGTGGGAGCGTCATCATTGGAAGCTCTCAAGAAGAGACTGGGCTGTCACCTGTCAGAAATGGTGTAGGGTCTTCTGCTTGAGCGAGGGTTGGACTAGATGACCTACAAAGTCCCTTCCAATTCTGTTACTCTGTTAAATTGTTTTCTGTTAAAGATGCCAAAAAAGTGCTTAGTTATGTTTTCTAAGCTTCCTTTCCCAATTAATCCCTTTTGTGTGAGAATTCTCTGGAGTGGTCCATTAATTTAATCTGTAATAGTTTTGTTCCCCATGTCATCCATGCCGACTCACAAGAGGTGTTTTTCTTCCATGTACATGTATGCATCCGAACTAGACTGTTGTTTCTCTGTCTCATATATGTGGGTATATGCAGAATTTTGTATTTATTTATTTAGTCATGTCCGTGTAGCGTAGATTGGTGTTGTTGACCCTTTGAGAGTTGTATGCAACAGAACTTCAAATTAATGTATGCCAATTAGTGTACATTCAAAGTGACAATAAAGGTATTCCAAGTCTAAGTCTAATTTAAACTTTCGTATGTTCCAGGACTGTGAGAAACCCATCCAGTACTGGGAAAAAAATGATGTCATCCACTTTTTGGACTAAGCCTGGAGGAGGCCTGCATCATTGGGGGAGGGGGGAGAGGGGGAGGGAGTTATGTGCTGGGACCACTTCAGCCAAATAGGGTTCTACAACGGATTCTTGTCCATAATCCTCCACCAGCTCTGGATGTTAAGCCACTAACTAAATATCTTGCAACTGCCCCC